GGGCTTCTAGTAGGGAGCTCGGACCTTTAACAGGGAGTTCGCTCTTAACAAGGAGCTCGGACTAAGTACAGCGGTCTGGAGTTCGGGCTCGGTAGTGAGTTTGGACTTGCTTCCGATGTTCGCTTTGGGTGCTCTACTGTCCCGAGCTGCTTTCCTTTGCCACGTGTTGGGCGATCGCGAGGTCGGGCCAAATTTCCCTTCATCACCCATGAACTCACATGACTAGTTAAATGACTTGCCTTTATCTTTTTGCCCTTAATCGGTAATATAAGTTATTTTAAACAAAATCTTACTATTCTGTGTACGGTGTAATCAATGGGGGTTAGCTGTGTCAAATGAGGTGCAAGACACTTAACCATTATAATTACTTTGTTTCAAACTAATAAAATCGTTTCACTATTACCAATCAAATAAAAAAGCGAACTATTCTTCATTAACATGCCACATAACCAATAAGCCTGGTGATTGTTGGTCATTTGACATACTAATGATTCAGAAAACATTATAGCACAAGTACCTAGGGCATTCCCTGCTTTTATCAGGAGGAGAAGAAAACAAGAAATCTCCAAACTTTTCCTCTAACATTTTCTCAACCTGCAGCCATGATATGAACAAAAAAAAAACAATGTTATGGAAATAAAAAATTGCAACTCATAAAGGAGTAGATATTTCAAGTCTGACTTCAGGAAGGAACCTATTGTTACCTGCCGTGTACTGACGTTAGCTGCACGATCACAATACATGCTAAATCGTGTCCAATAATCTTTTAGCAGCCCCTTCCATTCAGTCACCCCAACAGAGACATTATCAAGCTTGACAGGGTTTACAAGAGAAACAAGAATGTCAATTAACCAAAACAATAATGCACATAACTGCATCAAGAATTGCTTGTTGGCTTCTAATAAAATTTATCTTACCTTTCAAAAAAAATTGGAAAAAAAAAGAAAAAAGAAAAAGTAAAACTCGAGAAACCATTAGTAAAAAGAAGCAATAAAGTGAAGCAAGGGTTCCCATTGCTGAAGATTGCGAGGTCAAGACAAAAAGAAGCAAGTGGAAACACAAAAGAAATGGAAAATATAATATTTCTGTTGGATAAAGGGCAGCCCAGTGCGCGAGGCTCCCACCAATGCATGGTCTGGGGAGGGACAGATGTACGCAACCTTACCCCTGACACACAGAGAAGCTGTTTCTAAGATTTGAACCCTGGTCACTCAGTTTGCAACAAAACAACCTAACCATTGTGCCAAGGCCCACCCTCAAATATAATATTTCTGTTGGATGTGCCACTAAAATAAGTATAGCATTCACAACTACACCAACTCTTCTGATTCAATAACCAACAAATAGGAAATAATAATTAAATAAAGGGAATTACCTCAGTTTCCATATCAGCAGTGAAATTATAGTCTGTCACCTCAGAGAAATAGTGAGAAAGAAAAGCCGACACCTAGTACCACAAAAAATCCATTCAAACCTGTTCTGACCAATTTTTTATTTCATAAATTCACAAGAAACAATATGCAAGTTCCTGCACTGACAGTTTGATCAACAGTTGTGAGATGGAGATCAAGGCAAGGATATACAGAAAATTAGTTTTTTTTTATGAATAACAGTACTGAATTTTATTAATCAGTATAAAAGTGAGTACAGTAGAGAAGAGAACCCAAAAAGAGCTAGGCTTGGCTAACCACTATACAAGAATGCATTAGACCCTAGCCCACTTGGCCCCAATACAGAAAATTATTATTTCAAACATAAGGCCTTTTGCATGAGCACATATGCCGATCAAGGCAAGAATACATAGATCATATTTGAATTAGCAAATGTGTGCAAAACTACAGATAAAAGAGCAATCAAATGCTTATCCTATATTTCCTATATTGAATTAGAAGCATTTGATTGACCTATAACATAAATAAAATCTGTCAACGAAATCTCAGATCAAAGTGAACTTACCATGCGACCACGAAATTCAGGATATAATACTCGACTCTTCACTGTCACATAGCTCCTGTCCTGATGCCACAACAAAATTAGAAGTTTCTTTTATAAACAATCTAAATCCATTCCTAGAATATAAACAATATCACAGGTTTCTACAGGAAGGAGTATATGTTTTTCATAATGGTAATATTTTTTACAGGAAATAAAAAGCATTAATGAGAAGACAAAATTATTACGAGATATCAACATAAAACACCAACCGTCCAAGAAGCAAGGTACAGAATTATCAACAATTTTCAATACATCCCAAAAGGTTTACCAAATGCATCCCAGTTTAACTATTTAACATTTGAAATTCAGGGCCTGTTCGTTTCCTCTTAGCTCTTATCTCTTAAGAGGAATCTTTTAACTTTAAGAGAAAAATAGTTGTTCATTTCCTCTTACCTCTTATCTCTTAAATGCAATCATATAACCTTTTGTTTTCCAATGATACTCCAAAAAGACAAACAAAAACTATCATATATGGGGTCAAAATGGATATTTGATCATTTTCAGAATTCAGAACAACATTCCCTGAATCCAGAGTTCAGAGGAAACAAAAGTTCACCAATACCAATATACCTCTTAATGTAATTATTGCACTTTCAGATGTCAGATTTCAGAGCAAACGAACAGGCCCTCAGTCTAGGAGAAAAGAGAACATGCCCATATTGTCATGTGTGACATTTCTGTTCAAAACTTCTTCAACTACTCTCCTTCCAAAATTCCCAACAGGCTAAAAAATGATGAAAATCAATTCCTTCTTAGTCTTATGGCCACCTGAGTTCTTTTATTAATTGTAAGACGTAATTTAGTTTTTTTAATCAAGATTAGTGGGATTTCTAGTCCCTGTGCAGGTCAAGGTTAGTTTTTCTTTAATAAGAGATTTGATAAACACTTTTATTAAATAAGAGAAAAATAGAAGCATACAGAAAAATAATAACTTCATGATTGTTAGGAAAATAGAGAAACCTGGTTCACCCATCCCATGATACAAGAAGAGCCCCTTCCCCTACCTAGGGTTGGCAGGTCCCCAGTAAAATCTACCCAATTACCCCGCCCCATTCAGAAAACAGTGTAAAGTATTGCATTTAATATGATCAAAATGCACATGCTTGACTCCACACAATAAGACTGTGCAATGAGTAAGATCCAGCCTGTACACTGTGTAATTAGATACAAAAAGTATATTTTCATAAAAAAAGGGACTTATAAGGAACATCCTTGAAGCAATTCCGGGATGCCACCCAAGAGTATATTCTGCCCCATAACTTCTTTTAATAGTGTCTTCTAAACTTACTTTATCCTAGAAAAGTCCTGTGTTTCTTTCAGACCATATAGTCCACACTAGTACCAGAGTGATTACCCCCTGTATAACTTTCCCCACTTCTACTCAGTCCCTCCAACTGCCAACTCCATTATAAATCTTCCGATGTTGCCAGGAACAACTTTGTATTCATAATATACCCAGCATTTGTACCCACATCCCCCCAAAATTGCAATACACAAATAAATGATCCACCAATTCCATCACCTCCCAACAGATTATACACAAATTGTTATCCTCCACCATGTCTCTTTTGTTTAGGATGTCCATAGTTAAACACTTTCCTAGCATAGCTGTCCACAATAAAAAAGGCTACTTCTTGAAAGTCTGATGTATGTCACACTCTACCAACAGGAAATCTGACTGACTCAGAACAGGTTTGTTCATTATAGAAGAATTAATCTGTGAATTTCTCTTGTTTAGGTTGTCCACAGTGAAACACTTTCCTAGCATAGCTGTCAACAATAAAAAGGCCACTTTTGAGATTCCTCTATTTTCTTTGAAGATCCTGTGTATTAGTTAGGGCTGTTCATGAAATAAACCAAACCGACTAAACCAATCCGACTCAAACCGATTTGGTTGGTTTTCAAATGTTAATGATCAGTTTTGGTTCAAGAAAAATAAAAAACAAACAGTCGGATTGATTTTTGATTTATAAGTGTATAAACCGGCAAAAAAACCGAACCAACCCACCTATAAGATAATAAATTTAAATAATATTTAACTTACCTACTAAAAGCCAAAGTAGGAATGGAAAGCTGGAGCATTAAATGTTGTACCTTTTACTTTTTAGGCACCAGGCTCTAGCCTCTTTCCACAGATTTTAAAGTTCAAACATTGTAAACTGAATTCAGGCTAAAAAGAGAGAATGAATACAGCTGTAAGACTGTAACCATTCGAGTACATCTAAGTAGTGGGCAGAGACAGCTGCCATTATTCATTTAAATAAAATTCACAGTGCATCAGTAATCATATTAATCAACCAACAACCGAGAAGTCTATGTTTAGGTCGGTTTTCAGATTATATCAGTCAGTTTCGGTTTATGAAAGTGTAAAACCAAGGATGTCAATTCGGTTGGGTAATTTATATACAACCAAACCGAACCGACCCATTTACAGCCCTAGTAATAGTTAGGTGCTTCCCAAATATATTAAGGTCATCTTTTTTTTTATCAGCAACACAGAAAAAAATTCATTAATTAGAAAATCTGGTACAAGAAGTTGTGGTGGACAAGCATTCCACATTGTCCACTAAATACATCATAGCCTCAAACAAACCTAAAAACTATCCCTTTAATTACAACAAAGCCCAAAGGCAACCTGACAGAAACATCCTACTAACTAGAATATAGCCCAAAAAATAGATCGTCTTTGAACTCCTTGCTTAGCTAGACCATCAGCCGTGCTGTTCGCAGATCTTCTAACCCATCTTATTTGAATCACCATGTCTTTATAAGCCTGTTTGAAGCGCCTGAACTCATTCCTTAACTGCCAAATTATTCCCTCCCCTTTCTTCAGCCAGTTTACCACAGTTTTTGAGTCCCCTTCAACAATCAACCCATCAATCCCCATTTCTTTGGCTTTTACGACACCAAACACTGTTGCCTTCATTTCTGAGCTCACAACATCACCTTGCTGAATAGGACCTGAGAACATGGCTAGCATATTTCCATCCTCTCCTCTTATTACTCCACCAATGCCTGATGGCCCCGGATTTCCAAAGTAGCTGCCATCAAAATTTAGTTTCTTTCACCCAGCATCCGGAAGGGACCATGAAGCATTCACAATAGATTTAATAGATGCAGTGTTTGCTATTGTTCCCCAAGACCTGAACAAGTCCTGTCTTAAAATCAGCAAATAATTTAGTGTTTTCACCCAATGCACTAGAACAGCAGTTGTCCAAGCAACTGCTGTTCTAGTGCATCTTCCCATAATCTTGCCTCTCCTTTTAGAACACTTGAAGGAGTGAGAAGCTAAAGAGGCTTTCCAAATTAGCAGGAGGAATCCACCTCCAACTAAACAGAGAGGAAAACCACTCCCAAATGAAATTAGCAAAAGGACAGGAAATTAAAAGATGAAAGGCAGTCTCACCATTCAACTTACATACAGAGCACCAATTTGGGGACAAGCACCAATTTGGTCTTTCTCTCTGAAGCAGATCACAGGTACTGATGGAGCCATGGAACACTTCCCAACAAAAAGCACCGACTCTAGGAGGAATAGGGCAAAGCCAAATCTCCTTGACAAGGAAAGAATGAGAGGAGGATGTGGCAACAAGAGAGTTCAAGAAGGATTTGCAAGAGAAGGACCCGGATTGATTAAGTGCCCAAACTCTAGAGTCTGAGCCACTATCCCCCAAAACCACTGCGTTCGACAAGTTTACCAAAGTGGAGACACAAGACAATTCAGAATCTCTTAGATTTCTAACAAAACCCATATTCCAACTCAAGTTTGTAGGTGAAGAGGAAAAGCTAATGAAATCACTAATGGGTTTTCCTTTAAGACAGGAAAGAGCAAAAAGGGAAGGGAACACTTTGGACAGGGGGGAATCCCCAATCCAAATGTCCTACCAAAATCTGATTTTCTGACCCAAAGCCAAATCATACCTGATGTGAGGAAGGAACAAAGGAAGAATGTCATGGATGGCCTTCTAGGGAGCAGCCAAAGTAGCTCTATGCAAACAGCCCACATCCCAACCATTATTGCTTGACAGCCCATGGATACTTGAGAGATAACTCTAGCCCAATTTTTCAATTTCACATTTCCTATTCCCAAACCCCCTTCACCTTTCAATTGTCCCACCTTTTCCCACCTAACCAAATGATCTTTTTTCCCCTCCCCAAGCTCCCACAAAATGTCCCTCATGATCTTCTCGATTCTTTTTATCACGACTTGGGGCATTATAAAAACCGACATGTAATAGACTGGAAGATTAGCCAAAGTGGACTTTATTCATGTGATTCTCCCTCCCAGAGAAACATAATTTCTTTTCCAACTTGCCAACCTTCTTTCAAACCTTTCCACTACTAGATTCCAAAAGCTAACCGATCTAGGGTTTCCACCAAGAGGCAATCCCAAATAACACAAAGGCCATTCTCCTTTTTCACAACCCAACAAATCCGCCAAGGCTCTGAAGGCACGTTCTTCTAAATTGATACCAACCACTAGACTCTTAGACCAATTGATTTTCAAATTGGAAATCCTTTCAAATAGGTTCACAACTAGCTTTCAATTTTCTACACCTTCCTAGCTCTCCCCATCACAGAAGACCAAAATATCATCTGCAAATTGCAAGAGTGAGACCAAAACTCTGCCTCTCCCAACTGTCCAACCTTCGCTCAAGTGCATCAAGTTAGCCTTTATGGTTAATTTACTTAAAACCTCAGCCACCAAAGTAAACAGAAAGGGGGAGAGTGGGTCTCCTAGTCTAAGGCCTCTGATCCCTTCAATGAAATTAACTGCAATACCATTCACTAGGATAGAAAAATGACTTGTTTGCAAACAACCTTCAATCCATTTACACCACAATTCTCCAAACCCACACCTTCTCATGATGTCAATCAAGAAATCCCAGTCCACTAGATCATAGGCCTTCTCCAAATCCAATTTAATTGCAACCCCCTTCCCCTTTTGCCTTTTTTGAGCCTATACACACTCACTTATCACTAGAACTTGATCAATAATTTGTCTATCTTGAACAAAGGCT